CTGTTCAAAATGAACAAGATCATTGTACCCGTTCTTTCCGTGCCCATTTCGTTCGTGCAGACCAGAGGGGGCAGCAGCTTCAGGCCGAGTGCGCAGCGACCGGATGTATGTGCATGTCGTTTCTCCCACCCCCATGGGGCCCCTATAGAGTGCCCCCCGCGCGCCGCCGCCGGGGGCGGCGCCGGGGTGCTGAGACCGCCCCGGGCTGCTCGGGAGGCCCGCGGAGGCCAGCTGGGACTGCTCGGGGGGCCTCCGGAGGCCAGCTGCGGGCTGCCTGGAAGGGGGCTGTCTCTGCGCCGCCCGCAGCCTCCGCAGACGCATACAATTACCCTGACGTCCTCCGATATGGCTGCTCCTTCCATCCGCGGCCCCAGGGCTCCCGATATGACTACTCCCTCGATATGACCACTCCTTCGACGTGACTACCGCTCCCGCTCGGTATGGCTACTCCTTCGATGTGACTGTTCCTTCGATCCCGCGAAGGGTAGCTCTGCGTCCCGGATCCGGTGTTGGCCCCCAGGGCCGACAACGGGCCCCGGAGGCCGAACTCCCGGAAATCCGCCCAGGCTCAGAGCATCATGAGGCCGTCGGAGATCCGGGCGCACCCCTCCAGGGCCCCGGAGGACCCCGGCCAGGCGGTGGACGTCCCCCGATGCCGGGCCGCCCCGCTCCACGCTCCCCGTGCCGCGCGAGGCGCGAGGCCCGGTGGCCTTCGCGCTGCCGCCCCCTGGTAGCAGAGAGCAGCTCTGCAGCCCAGGCCGCCAGGTTGCAGGGGCCACGACAGGGGCGGGCCGGCCCTTGTGTCTCGCCACGCACCAAACCACCCCCACCCGACCCGAAGGCTCAGATTTACCCTCGATTTCCAGTGGGGGGGGGGTCGGGAAACATTGAAAAAACACATGTGGAACCCTTACCCTCCCAACCCGAGATTCGGGTCTTCGGGTTAGGTTGGGGTGGTCTGGTAGGTAGTCAGTATAGGCTCAGGGGAGAGGCCAGAAATCGCTGGACGATGATTTGGTGTTTCCGCCGGGGGCGCAGTGGCGCCCTGCCCAAACCCGCCGCCCCTGAGGCGAAGAAAGGTGTCGCCAGCCATCCGTGGCGCATTCTCGAAGTGGCCACCTCCAATCCAATGCTGTTGCGTCCTGGTTCACCATCGGCCCCCCGTCAGCCAAAGCGGGTGGAGTCTGGTTTTCAGGCACAGGGCATAAGGGGTCCTGAGGTCCAGGCTCGGGGGGGCGCCTGTGGTGAGCGCTGTGCCACTCGCGTGGAGCAGGATGAGGGGCAAGAGGGGATGATAAGGTAAAACAGAGGACGATACAGGATGAGGATGGAGAAGGATGGAAGAGGAGGAAGTCGGAGGAGGAGGAGGACTGGCCAGCGTCAGCACGTAGTCGTGTGGTGGGCTCTTCACACCCCGCCGGCCAGTAGATGCCACCAGAGAGTATGGAGCGGCTCGCTCTCAGCGACAAGCGCCCACACCGAATCTCCAGCGTGCGCTGAGTCTGCCCCGTTGCATGTTTTTCGGGGGCAGCAGCGAGGGGGAGAGTTTGACCCATCTTCCTGGGGTGTGCCCCTTGGTGCCCAGCATGGGCGCCAGCAGCTTTCAAGAGCCCCCCAAGAAGCCCCCAGAAAGCCCCCCCAAGATGCCCCAGGGACGGCTCCGAAGAAACCCCGAAGACGCCCCCCGAAGACTGCGCCGCTCCCTCGTCTCTGATCCCGCTCTCCTCCTCCCTCCTCCCCGCTGCGTCCTTCTTCTTCCCCTTCCTCGTCATCTCTCTTTCCCTCCTTCCTCCCTCCGTCCCTCTCGCCCAGCATCTTGCCTCGCGCAGCGGCAAGAAGCCCAGCTTCAAAACAACAGCAAGAAGTTCCTCAAGTTCCTCGTTTTTCAAAATCGACCCCCTCCGTTTCCTCTTTTCCTGGGTTTCGGCGTGCCCTGGAATGCGTTTCCGTTCCCTGATATCTCTCCTGTTCTTGGTTCCCTTCCGTCTCCCGTTGCAAAACCTTTTCTGTTTGGCCCCTCGTCGACCTCTCTGACACCATCTTCGGGGTATCTCGGGCTGTCTTGGAGGCATTTTGGGCAGTCTTGGTGCCTCTTGGAGGCCCCAGGGAGGGAATATCAACAAATGAGGGTATCCTACAGTTCGCCCATGCTGCCTACCCAGAATTTGAGCGCGCACGAAGCGCGTGCGAAGGTTCTAGTGTGTACATTTGTAGATCTGAAAATTCTCGTGGCGAAGGGCCCGACCATATGCAGTTGTCCACGGACTGAATCCAACGCGCACCGCGCACACCAGAGTTATGTATGTACATTCTGAATGACGGAGTCCCAGCGTAAAGTCACATACGCCCTCCGCATTTGGGAAATCAAATTTCCCACGACAGGGATTCGACAGCACCCCCTGCCCCTAACAAGGATTCGACATGTAACCCGCGCAAGTGGATCCATTATGCAAATCCACGACGACGGAAGTATGCTGTGAAGCTGCGCTGAGGCTATCAGTTTGCAAACCACACAGCAATAGGGACTTTCAAGTCGCCGACACTAACAATGCTTATGTGAGGTTGCACAAACAGAACCATGTTGCAATGCGAGCAAAGAGAGTTGGATTGCAATTCTCCCGCAACACAGCTTCGATTTTAAACCCGCACGATCGGAGTTGATGCCTCACTCGCGCAGTAGGAATCAATTTGTAGAACGCCCACATCAAGCAATCCTGTTATACAGCCCCGCAGAAGCATGTGATCTGTAATTCGCACAATGACAATCAAGCGGTAACCTGTCCACAAAAGCAATCCATTTGCAAAGACGTATAACAAGATTCAGTGTGCAACCCACGCAGCTAGAATCAAGTTTGGCATCATAATCTTTTTCGGAATCCACATTGTGGTTTTCAACGTGTATATCGACTACAAAGGGGGTATTATTGACGAGCTAGACAGAAGGATTTCGTGTGCAATCCCCACAGTGTGAATCGAGTTGTGAACCGCCCCCAGGAAGAATATATGCTATCAAATCCACCCAAACAAACCTTTTATGCGTAATCCTCACAGCAAGAATACGGTTGAACATCGCCCACAAAATGACTCCCTTCGAAAGAGAGCCATGCAATTTGTTGGGAGGAGGCGGAAAACATGGTATGAAATCCACCACCGTTTGTTTGTTGGTGTCCCTCCCGCCCTCCCAGATCGAACATACATGGTAAAAACTGTGGCGGAGTGTATGTTGTGTGTGTTTTATTATTATTGTTGTTTCCTCACATGTTTCCTCCAACCGTCTTTCAAAGGGAGTCCGTGTGGGCGAGCTCCAAAATTATCATTTGCGTGTGGATCACAATCAGAATATTCCGTTGCGGCTTTACAGAAGAACGCATTTTGGCATGTGACTTGCCAAATTCAATCTCCACCGTGTGGATTACACGTCGAATCCTTTGGTTTGGGTTGTAGGGTGGCTTCCGTAATACATTTGCATGTCCTTATCAATCATAGAATCCGCGTGGCCTTACATTATTGTTGCGGGTCTGTGAGAACGAGATACCAGAACAACTCGCAAAGCGGCTCACAACGGAACAATGCAGCAACACAGAAGATGCATCTCGCGAGCGTCGACAAGAGCAGTCGCCTCCAGGTGGCCCCCAGCGACCCGGGAGAAGGGCCAAGAGCGTCGGAACGCCTCGCCTTAGCGTCCGGAGACCTCCCTCCCTCCCTCCTCGAGGGCCGAGGGCTGAGGGCAACTTTCTTCCCCTCCCGGGCGCCACCCGAGGTGGGCGTCAATAATTCATGGGGGCCGACGTCTTTGGGCACCGCCGCCGAAGGAGAGTGGCCCGGCCAGCGGTGCCGTGCGGCCTTGACGCTGCTGCTGCTGGCACCACTGACGACGGCGGGGACGACGACTTCCTGCCGCCTTCGGCACCATCCCTATCTTCCTCCTCGTCCTACTCTCGACCCTCTGCCTCCTCCTCCTCCTTCTCGTCATCCTTTCCCTCCACCTGTGTGATCGTACCCGCCTCATTCCTCATCATCCTTTTCATCATCGTCCACGCTATCGTCCCTTACCGTCTTTCTCCCCCCCTTCTTTTCCGCCTCCACTCTTCCTGCTTCCGCCCGCTCATCATTGCACCCTGTTGTATCACTTCATCCTGTTTCATCCTCCTCGACCGCCTTCAGCATCCTCATCGCCCTCCTCATTCCCTCCCCCATCCCTCTCCTTTGCCCTCCTCCACCTCCCCCACCGTCTCACAGAGACAGGTGCCCTCCTCGACTTTCCTCGACCTCGCCTTTGTCCTCTTCCTCCTCCTGATGCCACTGCTCTTCCTCCGTCGTCCTTCGAAGACGTACGTAGAAATCAATATGCCAAGCGACCAGGCATTCGGGGAAGTCTCGGGCGCACGGGCGGGATCCGCTGCCCCTCTTTTCGCTCCGCCTCCAGATTCCAGAGCGGCCCCTGCCGAAATGAAAATGCAGGGCCGATCTGCTGGAGGTTGTGTTTTTGTTCGCGCTTGTGTTGGCATTCTCATCGGTGCTGGAGGTTCGGCGTCTCCGGATTCGTGGAGGTTTCTGAATTTCTATGCTCCCTGGGCTGAGAATGGGGTGGGGGTGCGGAGGAAGACGGGCCGGGAAGAGGAGGGAGGGCGGAGAGGGAGGCCAGAGACGGGCGAAGCGACGGGGCAGGAGGGAGGAACTGAACGTTGCCGAGGACCTCACCGAGGACCTAGGACCACGTCCGACGTTCGAGCTTTAGGTTTTCCCACGTTCGAGCTTGAGGTTTTTTTCCAATGTTCTTTGCAGGTTCGAGTTTTGCGCAGGTTTGGTGTTTGAGTTTTCTTCAGGATGTCGACCTTCCCAGGTTTTGGTTTCAAGATTTTCTGACGCTTTTTCCTGGTTTGGGTTTCTTGGCCCGAAGTGGCCGTGGACCGTCTGTAGTCGCAATTGCCGGGCCTGCCCCTCACCTGCCTCCTGCCTCGTGCCGCGCGGCGTCCCCGCCCAAGGGGGCCCCTCCCGCCATGCCGGCACCACGCCTCGCAACATCTTCAGGCGACCGCGAGGAGGAGGAGGAGGAGGAGGAGGAGGAGGAGGAGGTGGAGGAGGAGGAGGAGGAGGAGAACCCAACGCTGCCCTTTGGCTCTCGGGCCACACCTCGGCTCTCCGGCGGCCGATCGGCACGATCCGGGCACCCCCTGACTTACCAGCCTGGAACATATCCCTGTCCCTATGCTGGGCACCTCCTCATCACGATGCCAATCTTAGGGGTTCCCTTATTTTTGGAGGGCGAATCCCTAAGATTGTCATCGCCTTTTGGCGTGTCAATCTTAGGGATAGGGATACGTTCGAGGATGTTAACGGCCGCCTCTCGGCACGGCCGCACAGCTGCCAGAGCACGCACCCCCCGAGGCCGGAGGGCCGCGGGCAACCCATATAGGACAGCGCCCGCAGACATCGGGCACCGAGATCCCCGACGCCTCGACGAAACTGCAGCATATATCGCGGGCCATCGCCACCTGTGGCGCCCCGGGCGCCATCTTCCCGATCGGCAGCACCCCAACATACTTATACTATATGTGCGTCGCCCCCCCCCAGGGGCGACGCGCGCACCGAGAAATCTTATAGTATATGCGTCGTGGCGGGCGCTTTCTGGCCACACCGCTCGGGAAACGATCTACTACAAGATGGGTATACTATATGTTCGGGTCGGACGCGCGCCTCCAAGGAGGACATATGGTATTAGTATGTCCATGTGCGTCCCATCCCGAGTCCCTTGCCAATGTTTGCGAGCCGGGCCGAGGCGGGGCGTTCCAGGAGGGGCCTTTGCCCCTTCGAGGGCCGAAGGCGTTGGCCATCTCTGCCGCGGCGGCGGGCAGCGGGAGGGCGGGCGGAGGGTCGGCGGCAGGGAAGCGAGGCCGCCCCCCGCCGGCGGAAGGGCGGCGGAAGGGCGGCGGAGGGCGGCGGAAGTGCAACACCTCGCTCCCAGGAGGTGAAAGCGGTTTTGAGTTCAGGGTTTTCGGAATCGCCCATGTTTACCAGCCTCGAGCTTATCCCTATCCCCAAGATTGACACGCCAAGAGGCGATGACAGTCTCAGGGAGTCGCCTTCAAAAAGAAGGGGATCCCTGAGACTGGCATCGTGACGAGGAGGTGCCCAGCATAGGGATAGGGATATGTTCCAGGCTGGTGACGTTTGCGAGGGCTCCCATGTCCGAAGCCGGGCGGCAGCGCCCGCCGTGAAGGAAAAAAGTTGCCACTCCAGGGGCCCGGGGAGCCTCGCTCGAGCCTCCCTGCTGCAGCGGAGCCGGGCTCGCCTCGGCCCGCCTGACCCCAGGGGCAGCGAAAGTCAGGAGGGGAAAGAGAACACAGACACCAATCATCGTCGACTCCCAGGAGAATTTCACCAGCCTCGAACCTATCCCTATCCCTGAGATTGACACGCGAAAGGGAGATGACAATCTTAGGGATACACCCTCAGAAACTGAGGAAATCCCTAAGATCGCCATCGTGAGGGGGCGAAGCCCAACATAGGGATAGGGATATGTTCCAGGCTGGTAAAATCATCGTCGCTTCCCAGGAGAATTGGCCTGCTGGTGCTCCCTATGGGGCCACGACACGTGCGAGGGGTGCGCCGAATTGAGCGCGACAGTGCCATGCGAACGCTCCACCATGGGGCCAGGAGCCGTGTGAGGGGTGTACCGAGTTGGGCGCAGTGGTGTCATGCGAACCCTCCCACTGGAGCTTTCGGTGGAGCTTCCTATGGGGCCACGAAACGTGTGAGGGGTGTGCCGAATTGGGCGCGGTGGTGCCATGCGAACGGTCCCACTGAAGCCTTCGGTGGAGCTCCCTATGGGGCCACGGGCCGTGTGAGGGGTGTGCCGAAATGGGCGCGGTGATGCCATGCGAACTCTACCATTAGATTTTTCGGCGGAGCTCCCTATGGGGCCACGAAACGTTTGACGGGTGTGCCGAATTGGGCGCGGTGGTGCCATGCGAACCTTCCCATTGGAGCCTTTGGTGGAGGTCCTTATAGGGTCACGAATCGTGTGAGGCGTGTGCCGAATGGGGTGCGGTGGTGGCATGCGATCTCTCCCACTGGAGCCTTCAGTGGAGCTCCCTATGGGGCCACGAAGCGTGTGAGGGGTGTGCCGAATTTGGTGCGGTGGTGCCATGCGAACGGTCCCACTGGAGCCTTCGGTGGGGCTCCCTATGGGGCCACGAATCGTTTGAGGGGTGTCCCGAAATGGTGGGCATGCGGAGGGCAGAGGCACGGATGGGAGGAGGGATGGGAGGAGGGAGGAGGCGGGAGGAGAACGCGGGGCGCCGTCCCTTCAAAACGAGAACCCGACACCACAGGATGGTTGGGAAGTATGGTAAAATATGGGGACGTGGGGGGGAAGACGAACACCCAGAAAATATTGGAAAACATGGGGAATCCTGGGATTTGTGGTTATTTATTTGTGTATCCCTGTGCCCCTTTAGCACGGAGGCGTCGGCCCGCGGAAGCCCACTCATCGCTGGCATGGGTTTGATAGCCCCACCGCTCTCCCAGGATCGTGCGGATTTGCTGTCGGAAACACACCTCCGATCCATCGGCGATTTCTCGTCGAGCCCAGGTCGATGTGTCCATTCCCCCCTGAGCCAGTTCCCCCCTATCGTTGACCCTCCTGGTCTCGTCGCCAGCCCGGCCTCCCCGCGCAGACGTCAGCGGCACCGTAACAGGTACTCACGAACGGGTATTGTGGAGCTTTGCCGGAAGCTGCCACTTCAGGCCTCTCTCTGGCATTGCAGCCTTGCCAACGTCGGGGAGGGTCGGGTTCGCCTGGTCACCGGCCGAAGCACCCGTTAGTGAAGTCCCCGTTAGAGTGGCGCTGAAGACGCGGCCCCGGCTGCTCCTCCCCCTCCTCCTGCTCCACCTCCTCCTCCTCCTCCCCCCGCCGCCCGCCAGGAACGGCGGAGTTCGCGTCGAGCCACCCGTGGGCGGCGTGCCCAGCCGGCCGGTGCTCCGAAGGGGCATCCGTCGGAGCAGTGCGGCGGCGCGTTGTGAAGCCCTCTGGGGCTCCGAGGTGGCCCGGCAGGCAGTGGTTCCGTCCAGCAGGAAGTACGGGCAGGTTCAAGGACAGGGCTGGACCTAAACGTTGCTCTGCTGGACTTTGGCTGGGCTTCATTTTCGGCACAGGAAAACAGGGAGAGCAAAACGGAAAACAAAACGAAAACAAAACGAAAAGCAATGTTAAGGTCCAGCCCTGTTCGAGGTTATTCTGGGTTCTGGGAGGCTGTTTGCCGTTGTCGGCCTCCAGGGGCCGTTGTCGAGCGCCAGGACAAGGAACGGACGGATCCGGGGTGAACAAATGCACCAGGTGGATCTGGGGAGAGGTCCGGGGACGAATTTTGAGCGGATTTGGCCGCAGCCCCCCCTTCCTGGCCGGTTTTCAGGGTCCCATCCAGTTCAGACCCCCTGGTCGCCTCCAAGCGACACGTTCCTGGACGTGCGCCGCACTTTCCAAACTTCGTCTTTCGACGCTCGTCAACTCGCTGCGAAAAGCAGCACCACCCGGACCGCGAGTGTGCTCCTGCTAGACATGTTGGACGTGCGCAGTCGCGTGCAGTCGCACGCCGATGCTGCGCAGCTGGAACGACGCAGACAGGCCGGGCGTGCTGACTCCCCCCAGTGCCCAAAGATGCACAACATGGAACTGAACACGTTTACTGAATAATGCGTATGAGGTTGGTGTTGCTATCTTTTGGATAACGGTGCCGCAGCTCGTCCTAGACAGTTCTCGTCGCCACGGCTGGGTTATCCTCGAACCCCTGGGCAGAATGCACTCCGGGAGAGGTCCACGGAGTAGCGGCATCCTTCGGCCGATGCCCATGCCCGGACGTGCTCCGGCGTGGTCTTGGCAGCCCGTTGCCCCAGCGCTCCCAGCCGCCTCCCTGGGGGCAGACTCGCGTCCCGAATCCGTGTGCAGTCGAGCAGCATGGTAAGGATGAGCAGTGTTCCAGGGTTCCCCCTGCGTCCCTCCCCATCGGCCCGCCCTTGGCCGCGTGCGCTTGCCGCGCCCCGCACGCGGAGTGTCGCCCCGGTCTTCCAGGGAAGGGCCCGCGCATCCTCGCCGTGCGCCCCGCTTCTGCGGGCGGACTGCACGGGCGGCCGTGGAGGCCAGCGGCGGCCCCCAGGGGCCTCGGCATCGCTCGGACGTGTGCATTTTTCCTTCGGCGAGGTCCATCGAGGCGGATCCCTGATCATTTGGCGAAAAAGCCACGCACGAAACCGAACAAAAACACAGGGAACGGACGTCGGAGCGATGGCCAGGGGCCGACGTGATGGTTCAACGAGCGCGACTGCGAGGAGCGTGTCGTCGGAGGTCGGGGTGCCGGCGGCATCCCTCGGCGGCGGCGTCCCCACGATCGCGGCTCACGGCAGAGGCGGAGGAAGGGGGCCCATGTTTTCCGCCACCACTACCACAGGCAGGAGAGGGAGAGGGAGGGAGAGGGAGCAGGAGGAGGAGGAGGAGGAGGAGGAGGAGGAGGAGGAGGAGGAGGAGGAGGAGGATGAGGGGGAGGAGGCAGAAGAAGAAGAGGAGGAGGAAGAAGCTCCTCATCCTCCCTTCTCCCCCGCCCTACATGTGGTAGTGGTGGTGGAAAATCTGCCCCTCACAAAGGATCTGGGGCCCGTGGTCTCTCTTGCGCCTCCGCCTCCTCCTCCTCCTCCTCCTCCTCCTCCTCCTCCTCCGCTTGCCGTGCCCAGTTGGGCCCCCTGCTGTCCCTCGCCCTGCCCTCCCTGTGCGTGCCATCGGACGGGTGATTGAGGGTGCAGCTCCTGGGAGCTCAAGTGCAAGATCGGCGCTGGTATCTCCGGGATCGTATAAGCAGGCCTCCTCGGCACAGCCCCTCTCGACCTCGCCATCTCGCAGCAGCCTGCTCAATCCCGGTCTCGGGCCAGCCTAGCCCGGCCCAGTGGCGCTCCAGCGTCGGGCTTCGGATTGGGCTCGTGATCGCTCTTTCGGAGACTCCCCCCCGGGGTGGGCAGAGGCGCGATCTGGTCACGACCGCAGGGGAAGCGGCGTGGCACTACTCGCCCACCAGAGAAGCCGCCCGCCGGCAGAGCCTGGCCCTTGGGAGGCGGTCTCCAGCGGGGCGCCACAGAGCGGAGGGGGGGAGCTTCACCAGGAGGATCCTCGAGGCAGCGCGCGAGCTAAATGGTGCTTTTGTTGGCGTTGTCGTGGATCTGTTTCGTTTTGAGTTCGTTTTGCGGCAGTGGCGAAACGAAGACACGGCGAGGGAGAACGACGCAACGGAAACGACAAGCACTGTTTAGTGCGAGCCATGTCTCGGGGGAGGGAGCAGCGCCCCAGGCATGCTCGCGTCGCGCACGAAAAATCACGACGGGGGGGCTTTGGCCCGCCTTCGGCCTTTGGGGACCCTCGCCAGGCCACGGGACCGTCCACAAACGTCCCGGGATGAACACAGGCCCTGGGGGAAGGGGCCGGATTAACAGACATACAAATCAGGCGGTCGCAAGCATGGATCAAGAGGGCGTGGATTAGCGCCGGGTCCCGTTTCCATGGGAAATCGCGGATCTTCTGCCGCCGAACGAGGCGGCACCGGCCGCAATTTGGGGAGGGCTCCCCCCCCCCGATCCATGGATTTGGCGACCGCGCGCCAAATCCATGGATCGCTAATCCATGTCTGCGCGCCCCCGAACAAATCGAGACGCCGGATGTCTGGGACACCAGCCCCCGCAGGTGGCGTTTGCTGGACGGCTCGCCGGCATCTGCCTGCGCAGGTCTGCCTGTTGCTTCCCTCCGCGGCGCGTGCACCAGCTTCGGTGGCAGCGGTGCTCGTCGTGAGGGTGGCCCTTCTGCCCTCTGGATCCCTGCCTGGCTCAGGGCCCCTGGCGGTGGTGTCGCCTCCTCCTGGCCTCCTGCCGCGCGCGGAGCGTGGGCTCGAGGCCACCTCGGCGTCGGGGCGCGGCGGCGGAGCAAGCGCTGGGGGAGCACGTCCGGTCGTGGTGTCGGACCGTCCTCGGGCCGGCCAGACGCCGCCGAGGCGCTGTGGGCGGTGGCGGCGGCGCTGCTGCTGGTGTGCTGCTGCTTGTGGCTCGTGCCGTGCGCTTTCGGCAGCCTGGCGGCGGACGCCAAGCCGAAGAGGCGGGCGAAGGAGCGGCCCCAGCCCGTCATCCTCGTCCTCCCTCTCGCCGTTCGCCCCAGCCCCTCATCCTCGCCATCGTGCTGATCCTCATCCTCGCCGTGATGCTCCTCCTCCTTCTCCTCCTCCTCCTCCTCCTCCTCATCTTCCTCATCCTCCCTTACCTCTCCCTCCCGTTCTTCCTTCACATTATCCCCCCTGCCTGTTCCGAACCTTTGCTTCCTCGTTCTTTCTCCTACTTCCTTCCTGCCTCCACCCTGTCCGTTTCCTCCCCCTGCTCCCCTATCTGCTTCTCCTCCTCTCAGCCCTCCCACTCCAGGCTCTCCTTCCGCTGCTGAGTCTGGATCTCATCTCGCTGCTGCTCCTGCTCTTCCTGCCGCTCGTGCTGCTGCTGCTGGTCCTCCTCCTCCTCCTCCTCCTCCTCCTCCTCCTCCTCCTCCGCATCCTCCTCCTCCTTCTCCTCCTCCTCCTCATCATCATCATCAGCATCATCATCACCATCATCATCATCGGTGTCGTCATCATCATCATCATCATCATCATCATCATCAGCATCAGCATCAGGATCAGCATCAGCATCATCATTATCATTATCATCATCATCAGCATCAGCAGCAGCAGCAGCAGCATCAGCATCAGCATCAGCATCATCATCATCATCAATATTACCCTCATCATCATCAGCAGCAGCATCATCATCACTCTAGCCCTCCGAATCTAGCTCTTTGCCGAACGTCAGGATCGTGATTAGCAAGCGTCTCCCTCGGGGCCGCCCCAGCCACTCCCCTGAGCCTAGGATGGGCTTGTCCAGGCTCGGTGTAGATGTGGACAGTTGCCACCTCCCGAGATACGGACAAAGACGAGGATAACAAGCAGCAGCATTAGGACTCTCTCTCTCTCTCCCAAACAGCTCAAGACTCCAGACCCATCAAAGAAAAAAAACACCGCGGACAACCTTCTATCTTATCATGTGGCATTGGGTCCTCGTTTCGAAGAGAGCGCCCTGCGTCACTCACTCCTCCTCCTCCTCCTCCTTCCTCCTCCCGCTTCTCCCTCCTCCTCCTCCTCCTCCTTCTCCTCCTTACTCCTCCTTCCGCGTCATGATCATCAGCGTCATTGTCATTAGCGTTACCAGATTTTCAGAAAGCCCTAACACGTTTCGTGGCCCATAGGGAGCTCCACCGAAGGACCCAGCCGGAGGGTCCTCAAAGGGCCACAGCACCAATTTCGGCACACCCTCACACGTTTCGCGGCCCCACAGGGAGGAGCTCCACCGAAGGCTCCAGTGGGAGGGTCCGCATGGCGCCACCACACTCGCTTCGGCACACGAGGAAGAGGAGGAGGAGGAGGAGGAGGAGGAGGAGGAGGAGGAGGAGCCATCATCGCCATCATCATCGCCGCCATCCGCCCCGACAGCGCGGCATCGCGGCCGCCGGCGCCGGCGCGCTGGCCTCGGAGTCGGAGGACGACTCCCCGCGAGAGGCGGCCGCGCCGGATCTCGAGCTGCCGAGGCTCGGAGGCTCGCGGTCCGCGGGGGGCGCTTCGTTGCCGTCGTCCGCGGCGGCGTGCCTGGTGGCTCTGTGCCTACCTCCTATTCCTCCTCTCTTCCATTCTCCTCCATCCTCCTGCCTCCTACCTTCCTTGCGCCCTCCCTCCTTCTCCTCCGTTGGCTGGTGGCTTCAGGGCCTGTGACAGGCGCAGCCATGCTCTCCCCCTGATCCGCCTTCCTCCCTGTTCATCCTCCCTCCTCATTCCTCATTCCTCTCACTCCTCATCCCTTCTCCGTCCTCCTCCTCCCCCTCCCTCCTCCTCCCTTCTCCTCCTCCTCCTCCTCCTCCTCCTCCTCCTCCTCCTCCTCCTCCTCCTCCTTATCCTTATCCTTATCCTAATCCTCCTCCTCCTTCTCCTCGTCTTCCTCCCCCTTTCGTACTCCTTTCTCCTCCCTCCCTCCTCCTTTCTCTTTCTCCGCTCCTCCCTGCCGTCCTCCCTCCCCTCCGGGGGGGCGTTTCCCAGTGCGCCGAGTGGGCATGCGGCCCCGCTGGGGTGCGGCTGCCCGTCCGGCAGAGTGCCGGCAGAGCCCCCCCCCCCCCCTCGGGGCCCGTGGCGTGGCCCTTCCTCCATGGCAGTCCCGTGACCCCCCTCCGGACCTCTCCCGTGGCTGCCGGGACGCACGCCACGGGGAGGGGTCCGGGGAGCGGCGGTGTCGGGGCCTCTCGACGTCCCCAGGGAGGGGCGAGGCCGCGCCTGGGCCCGCGCAGGGGCAGAAACTCCGGGGTGCCCCCCTCCACCTCGCGCGGCGCCAGAGGCGGGCGGCGGGCGTGCCCTCGGCAGCACCCGTGGGAACGAGGCCTCGTTTCGGCGAAGAAAGAAAACGCCAGAAAGAAAACGCCATAAATATACACATAAACATCAACATGACAAAAACTAGGAGAAAAAAGAAAGAAAGCCAAAAACACAACCTGTGGGCGCTCCGCGTGGGTTTCCTGGGGATCTGCGCTGGCTCTTCCCCGGCGGCGCCTCTGGCGCCGCCCCTTGCGCGCTGCGCGCGCCAGCGAGGGGGTCCAGCGCAGATCCGGGCAATCCGCGCGGAGCGCCACAGGTTTGTGCCTATGGCGTTTTTCCTTCTTCTATGGTCTGAGCCCGCGTAGGGCACCTCTCCGCCAGACCCGCAGGGGCGCAGGGAAGCGGCGGCAGTTCCAGGTCTGGCGGCGCTCGAAAGGGGGGGGGGGGAGGTCTCGCGCATGTGACCGCGCAGGACACCAGCTCGCTGGACGCCCCCAGGGAGGCCAGGCATTGGCGATGGCTGCACGTCTTGCGCAGCCCGTGACAGCGAGAGTGATCGTGCAGATCCGCGCAGGACATCACTCCGGTGGGCACCACAGGAGCGTAGGAGCTCGGCGGCAGTTGGGCGTCTGGCGCTGGCCAGCGGAACGGCGGTCATGTATTGGATCCGCGCAAAACTCCGCTACGGTGGATCTCCCCGAGGAGAGGAGAAACAAGGCGACAGTGGTACGTTTGGCGCCACTCAGAGGAGAGTGGCAGTATCAATTCGGATCCGCATCAGTAGCGGTAGGACACCCATTCGTTGGATCCCCGAGGAGCGCTGGAAAATGCCCACAGTTATAGTGCGTTGGACTGGACGCCACCTACCGAAGCCATGATCATAGTTTGGATCCGCGTGCGTACGCCGTTCGTGTGGGCCCCCAAGGGATGCTGGAGAGTGCCGACAAGTGTGCATTTTGCAGCACTTGTGGTGGATCCGTGTGGGACGCCATTCCGCGTGACTTCCCAGGGGCACACGAAGGTGAAGTGGAGAAGAGAAGAGGAGAGGGGAGGCGGGATCAGGGAAGAGGAAGGTGGTATGCGCGAGGAGGAAGAGAGTGGGAGGAAGGAGGAAGTGGGCAACTAGTGCTCTAGAGAAGGCGGGCGCCTTAGCACAATGAGGGCACACCTCCGACAAAGGCACGCAACACAGACAGAACAACAGAGGGACCCCTCCCAGCTCCCGCACAATTGCAGTGGTAAAGATCCCAACCCTATGTTCATGCGTGGCGACTATGTAGAGGACCGCTCAGTGCGCATGAGCATACTGACGGATTTGCAGTACCCCTAACGCTTCGACAAAGAGCGCACGACCACACTCAACTGCGCGGGGCGAAGCGAAATGTGCGAGCCGACACCATGCGGACGCTGCCATTGGGGCCTTCGGTGGAGCTCCCTATGAGGCAACGAAACATGTGACGGGTGTATCGAAATGGGGCGGGGCCGCACGCGACCGCAGCCACTGGTTCATTCGGTGGAGCTCCCTGTAGGGACACGAAACGTGTGAGTGATCTGCCGAAGTGTGGCCGGTCACCATGTGAACCCAAGCACTGACGCCTTCGGTGCAGTTCCTTGTGGGGCCACGCAACGTGTGAGGGGGGTGCCGAAATGGGGCAGGTCACCATGTGAACCCAGCCACTGGCGCCTTGGGTGAAGCTATCTGTGGGGCCACCAAACGTGTGAGGGGTGCACCGAAACGGCGGCGGAATGATGGTGGTAGCGAGTATGAATATGGACGATGCTAAAGACGATGATGATGCTGATGATGATGATGATGATGATGATGATGATGATGATGATGATGATGATATGACGATGATGGTGGTGATGATGATGATGATGATGATGATGATGATGATGATGATGATGATGATGATGATGTTGATTATGATGATGACAATGGTGACAATGATGAGGAGGAAGAGGCGAGGATAGGAGGGGGAGGAGGAGACGATGGGGCGCGGCGCTGCGGATTCAAAACGCGGCCCAGCACACAGGAGGGCTCGGAAAAAAAAACAGCCAAGAAAGGCCAAGGCGCATTTGATACCGTTTGTCTTCTGGCCCCTGGACACGCCATCCTTGTGGCCGTCGGCAGTGTCTTCACCGCTGTCCTGGTCCGTGTCCCGTGCCACGCCCGGCCGTGGCGGCGACGAGGGCCTCCGCGAGTGCCCAGCGCCCGCGAGCGCTCGTGGCGGCGACGACGCGGCTGCTTCCTGGGAGCTGCAACGCCCCAGATCAGAGCACCCCTTTGTGGGCCCCGGAAACGGCAGGCCCGTTTTTTCACCGGTTCCGAAAAAGTGTCCCTTGAAAATGGAAACGGCAAAAAAACGGCGACCCGAAACGGCGAAAAAACAGCTCCAGGATTGGACCCGGAGCCGGAACCGGTCAAACAACGGCGACGGAACCGGTAAAACAACGGCGTCGGAACCGGCAATAAAAACGGCAAAACGGAACCGGTAACAAAAACAGCCCTGTCGTTTCCAGGGCCCACTAAGGAGCACCCCCCTTGGGCATCCCCCGATTATCAGAGCGCGGGCCCCGAACGGTTTTACTTCGTCCCTGCGGGCGGCTGGCTGGATGGAGGGCTCTGGTCTCTGGAGGCGATGCTCGGGGGCTAAAGCGGGAGGCGAGGCTTGGGCGCAGGACGTGGGGCGATACGTGGGGGCAGTACAGGGGGGCAGGTCACGGAGCAGCACATGAGCGACGCCGGAAACGGGGTCGTCTTCACCAGCGTTGGCGCGCAAGCTGCCCGCGTAAGGCCGCGCTGAACCTCAGAAGGTCGTTCGTTTTAGACTCCCCCCCCTTTTTTCTCTGCGGCGAATGGGACTGGTCGTAAAGCCTCTCTCGGCGCGCGCGGCCGAACCAGTTTCCTTCTATTGTTGGGCGCGCTGGATAATGTTGGGGATTCTTCTTCCCTGGGAAAAATGCCCCCGTGGACTACCCGGCATGACGGGGGATTTCTGAGCACGTTTGTAAGAGGATTGCAGTATATATATATATATATATATATATATATATACATGTTATTCGCCGAGGGCGCTGGTCGCCATCTCCTTCATCTCGCCGTGCTTGTTAAAATGTTGCACCACGCGGTCATGTGCATTTATAGTATGCATGCGCATCTTCAGCGTCAGCGCCAGCGGCGCGGCCCACCGATTAGCTTCCCGCTACTGTTCGGTGCGCAGGATAATTAATGTCGGGGGGTCTTTCTCCCGGTGCGTCATGCTTCTTGGGCTACCCTGCACGACAGAGGATGGAGCTTCAGAGGGCCCGCAAGGCCTTCCACAGTCCTTCTCAGGATGGATATCTCAGGATCAAGCTCTTGAGACCGAAGTTTCTGAACCACGACTTTCCATGAGAGCGCTCCTGAGGCGTAACGACTAGCTAGTAGTCGTCGTAATGGTGCCGGCGTAGCTGCTGGCGGGTGCCACGGGAAAAACATTCTTAGTTTCCTCAATTGGTGGAACACCAATCCATGAAAAAGGCCGCTGAACAGATAATTTGGCAGTTCTTGGGGCAGTGCATTGGGCAGTAGCTTTGGGGCGACACTACCTCGACGGGCACATGGGGGCAACACACCGGGGCCGCATTCGGGGGGCAGAGCCGCGGGGGCACTACACGGGGGGCCCCTTCCCCGCCCCCGTCCCTCTTCTCCGCAGGTGCGCTTGCGCCGCGTGCCCGCGCGACGCGAGCGCAGGGCCCCCACGGGCGCCTGTGCTTCTGCGCCCACTTCCTGCTGTCCCATTCCTGGCGGAAGGGGCCCAGGACTTTGTGGGCCCTGGAAACGGCAGGGCCGTTTCTTCACCGCTTCCGGTTTGCCGTTTTTTTGCCGGTTCCGACGCCGTTTTTTTACCGGTTCCGTTGCCGTTTTTTGACCGGTTCCGGCTCCGGGTCCGATCCTGGAGCCGTTTTTTTGCCGTTTCCGGTCGCCGTTTTTGTTGCCGTTTCCATGTTTAAGGGACCCTTTTTTGTAAACGGTGAAAAAACGGCCCTGCCGTTTCTGGGGCCCGCAAAGCGCCTGCTTCTGCGTCCACGTCCTGCTGTCCCATTCCTGGCGGAAGGGGCCCAGGATCTCCGTCGGGTTGCCGACGGCCTTTGTCGGCACCCTCGGCGGCCCAGCGATGTGCTCGCCGTCGCAGCCGGGCCCGGCGTGCCAGGCTGGCCGCTGGGCCCGTCGGGCCCGGAGCCTCTTCTCTTGCGCATCCACGACCTCGCCCTCCTCGGCACGCCCGTCTTGAAACGCAGCGCGTGCCGCGCTTATGACGTCCGTGCCAGTACGTCGAGTGTTGGCTCAGCGTGTTGGGCCACGTTTTGGCGAGCGCATCGCGCCGGACCTGCGCGTTCGGTCTACGTGCTGAGCTCCAGATCAATACTGTACGCTACGTGTTGCGTGTGGCGTGTCGGGGCAGATAAGTCCATGCTTTCCGCTGTCACTCAGACCCTGAGACCCGCCGCTGCAAGCACATTGCGATACATCGCCGAACGTCACGACCGGAGCCCCCGGACCCCACTCAGCTGCGTCATTCCTGGAGCCGGATCGACCTGCGAGGGCCCTGGGGCCCGAAAATTGGGGGAACACGCCTGGCGTGAAAGAGTTGCAACGCCCAGATCTTGAGGGCACCCCGAATTCCCAGAATTCCTTGACAGGGAGGGCGGCGTGGGCCGGGAGTGGCCGGCCCGAGAGCGGGGGGCGTTCGGGCTGCCGAGCGGCAAGAGGAGTGCCGAAGAAGTCAAGCAGTGGCGATGCGTTCTGGCCTGCCTCTAGGCACACGAAAGAATGTTCCGAGAACCTTTTGTGGTTTGCACGTCACGTTCTTAGAACATGTCTGTCCGAGACTGCCTCGTTTGAAGCATTCGGTTGTGTGTTCTTAGGACCTGCGCTATAACATCAGTTTGTTCTAGGACAATTTCGTGGTAGGTCTATAATCCACTACACGTAAGAGTGACCCTTCGCCGGAGTGACCTTTGGTGCGGGCCCATTGGGGCCCCCGATCGCCGAACGCGAGGCGGCAGTGGCGTCTTGCGCGCTTGTGTGTTGGACCCCCCGCGGCCCCCAAAAAGCCGCGCACCAAAGGCCACTCTTACCCAGAGGCACTCTTACGCGTAGCCGATATAATAATGGGCATGCCTCGTTTGAAGTTTTCCGCTGCATGCTCTTAGGACATGAGGTCCTAATTTGGTTCTAAGCATTCGGTTGTATTATAACATTAGTTGGTTCTAGGAGCATGTCATGGTCGGCCTATCATGGGATTGCTGGGTCGGCCCCTGCTCAAAGAAAGGGCTTTTGCTCCCGAGAGAGGTGGGTGCCCCTCTCGCGCGCGGGCCTCCGATGAGACGGCAGGCTGCCAGGGGCGTTGGCGCCCTCCGCTGCAGCGGAGGGCAGGGTGAGGAGGACCCGGACACGTTCGCGTCGTAGGACAATCACCCTGACCTTCCAGAGAGCTATTTTTTAGCATTGGAGGCCTGAAAACCTAGAGAACTGAGCGAAACAGCCTAAAACCAAGACGTAGAATAGCTTTGGGATCGGTTTTTAAGTCGGGTGCTATTTTCTTTGCCCTGCTGGAAGGTCAGGGCAGGACGGGAGGCTTCTCGCTTCTTTCGTGGTTTCGGGGGCCCTGACTGGGCCCCGGGAGCGACGAACAATATAATTCAGGATGGAAAGCTGGTCCTGGGGAAACGGTCAGGAAGTCGCATGTCTGGGGAGGATGAAGATGGGAGAGGGAGGGTGACGAGGAGGAGGAGGAGGAGAAGGAGGACGAGGAGAAGGCGGAGGATGAGGAGGACGCGGAGGAGGAGGAGGAGGAGGAGGAGGAGGAGAAGGAGGGGGCTACTCCTAGAGCAAATGCTCTAGAGTCGCCCGGCTCTTAACGCTCAATCCCCCCCATGGCCGACAGGCCCCGGGGGGGAGGGCTACATCCGACGGATCCTGTCGCCTTTAGCTCGTCAGCTCGCGCGGCTCCCTGGTGGCCCCCACAAGTGTTTCGCACGGAGCGACTCCCGGCCCCCCTGGGAGCGGGCACGCTCGCGGGGCACTTGCCCCGTTGCCAGCGCCCTACTTGGGACAGCGGTCATGCCTGCCCTTTGCCCAGGGTTTCTCCATGCCTCCCAGATGGGGTCCGAGTAGATGGGGTCGGAGGATCGCGCCGCATCGGCGATGCATCGGCGATGCGTCTCCATGTGAAGCCCGATGTCCTCCACGCCGACGTCGCCGATGCATCACCCACGTCGACGATGCATCGCCGGTGCATCGCCGGTGCATCGCCGACACATCGCCGATGTATCGGCGATGCGGGGAGATCCCCCGACTCCCATCTGCTCCGACACCATCTTGGAGGCCTCCAGCTGCGGCACCAACGCACCCCACTTGGGAGTGCCTCGGCAGCTTGCGCTGCAGAATTCGCTGCTGCAGCTGCGCGCCGCATCGCGCAGCTGCCAAAGGTCCGCGACTGAGCTGGGCGCCGCCCCGGGCGCCTGCGGCTGCGCACGTCGTCCGAGCGCGCTTGTCAACACAAACCGCGCCCAGGCCCAGACCCCGGCCAGAGATCCAATGTCGTGATTTTTTCAATACGGGGCCCCCGGAAGTCTCGACCCATGCCCCAGGACCGGTTTTTCATCCCTGAGTCGATGTTTGACGGTCCCGGGGCCCGGCGAGGGCCCCTGGAGGCCGAAAACAGCGAAAAAGCCCCGTCTTGATTTTTTCACTGCGTTGGATCTCTGGGAGCCGGCCCGCCCCCCCCTCGGCGCGCCGCAGGCGACGCCCGCGCCGGGCCGCCGCCCGAGGTGGGCGCGGAGCTGCGGCCCGGCCACGCCCCGGCGGCCGCAGGCCGAGAGCGCGCCCCGGCCACCCCGCCCCCCGGGAGCGGCGACCGGGTCCGTCGCTCGGCGGCGCGCGCGGGGGGGGAGTGAGAATCAGCGGAGGAACATTCTTCATCAAGGACAGGAGGACCCTTTATGCCTAAGAGTGCGATGGAGACGTGGCCTCACTGAGGCCCACTTGGTTACGCCAGGGCGCATAAGCGGGCGGTCTGCTTCGGTGCGTCTGCAGAAGAGACCCCCTATCGCTAATGTTCCTGGATCTCCTAAATGTGGTCGTTTTCCAAAGGCATCCATACCCTTGCCCTTCCCTTTGGGTCTCCTGGGAGCCCCTCGCCCCCGCGGCTGGATTCGCCTCGAGGTTCTTGTCAGGGCGCACCCTGGGAGAGGTTTGCGGAGTAGCGGTGTCGGTACCGTTTGGTTTCCCCAGCTTTCTCAGAAGGCGGCGAGGCTGCCAGGAAGGCCTCCGGCCGTGCGAGAGTTGCTCTGTGTCTTCGGGGGCCTTGGGGCAAACACTTCTCAGAGGGCCCGGGGCCTGCCGAGCCTTCCGAGAACGCCCGCCCCTTCTCACTTCCCCCCCCAGGCTCGCCGCCGAGTGCCTGCTCCCTCGCGGTCTGGATTCCGGGGCATGATCCCGCGGATGCGCGTTCGCACGGGCACGCTCCGCGGGGCATCCGGAACAAAAACGCTCCATATCCGCGGGGTCGCGGCCCACGGGACCAGCCCGCAAGTCCGCATGCATGGATGCGTTTTTACTCCAGTTTTCTTTCGTATGCCCCCCCCCCCATCCGCACCAGTCCGATCCCACCGCCCGGGGCCACGTTGAGCATGCAATTGTTGATTCTTCGGGTAGCCTCGCCAGCCCATCAAGGAACGATACCCAGGAGAGTTGGATGTCATGGAAGTGTCGGAGCAAGATAGGGTGCAACTGTTACCTGTCCACTGAGGAGGTGGATGGAGGAGTAAATGGAGGGGGAGGACGAGGAAGAGGAGGAGGAGGGGGGGAGGGGAGGAGGAGGAGGAGGAGGAGGAGGAGGAGGAGGAGGAGGAGGAGGAGGAGGGGGAGGAGGAGGGGGAAGGAGGTGGAAGGAGGAGGAGGAGGAGGAGGAGGAGGAGGAGGAGGTATAAGGATAAGGAGTAGGCCGATGAGAAGCAGGAGGAATGGAAGGGCGAGCAGAAGGCCAGAGACCCCTTGGATGTCCAGGGGCTTCCTTGGAGCCTCTTATGGCTGTCTTGGATGCCTCTTGGTGGTCTCGGGGGTGGGGCGTCTTGGGTGCTGTTAAGGTGTACACCTTGGGCGATGCTTAAGAAAACCTAAGTTTTCGGCCAGAGTCTCGATTATTCTTAACGTTTCAATGTAAATCCTAAGACTTCAATGGAAATGTTGGGTTTTTACGCAAGTTCTGAGACTATGAATTTCTTAACCCATGATTTCTTAAGCATTTCGCAGGGTGTACCTCTCGAAGCTTCTAAGGGCTGTTTGGGCACCTTCAATGGGCCTTTTTGGGGGCCTCTCGGAGCTCTTTTGGGAGGCCCTCTTGAGGCCATCTCGTACGGAATCGAAACAACAAAGGGGAAGCCCGAATTAGCGCCTCCACTCTAGAGCGCCCTCATGGAGCGCTCTTGGAACGCTCTTGGGCACTCTTGGGGCCGTCCTGGGGCCCTTTTTCTGGGCCTCTCTTGATATCCTCTTGGGTTATCCTAGAGCCATCTTGAGGCTTCGGAAGGCCATCGGAAGCGAGACGCGAGAAAGCAACACGTACTGGTTGTCCTTACGATTTGAGTGAGTTCTGACATCTTCTAAACTCTATTGCGGGTGTTCCGAGGCCACTTGGAGCTGTTTTGAGGCGGTCTTGGGGCCTCTGCGAGCATATTGGAAGCCCTCTTGAGTACTCCTCAACCATCTTGAGCCGTCTTAGAGGCCATCTTGGGCTCTCTGAGGCCCTCTTGAGCTCATGGAGCATCGTGGAAGCCCCCTTGAGCAATCCTCAGCTATCTTGAGCAGTCTTGGAGACCATCTCGGGCTCTCTGAGGCCCGCTTGGGCCACCATATCGCACCTTGGACGTTCCAATGGGTCCCGGGGCGCCCCGTCCAGGTCCCGAGGGCAGGGGGAGGGGTAAACCCCTTCCCGCCAAGTAAGAAGGGAAGATAAAAGAGAAGACTTCTACCCAGACGTGCTCGCGTCGTGAAAAATCAAGACGGGAGCTTTTTGGCTATTTTCGGCCCCCTCGCCGGCCCCCGGGAGCGTGAAAAAACGGCGCAGGCTGAAAAACCGGCCCCTGCAGGGAAAGGGTCGGGACTTCCGGGAACGCCGTCTTGACAAAAAGCAGGGCGTCGCATGTCTGGGCACAAAGAGACGAGCGCAACCCTGGCGTCGCGTTGTTTCCGCACGGCGGGCCTTCAGAGCGGCCCTCTGACGGCCCCGGCGCCCGGCCAAGGGCCCGGCGCGGGTCCGCGCCCGAGCCGCGCGCCAGGGCACCGCGGGCACCACCACCACGGCCAGCCGGCGGAGCGCACGCGCATCCTCCAGTCCTCGTGGCAGCCGCTTGGGCGAGGAGCGCCTTGGCGCCGCGGCACCCGTCGTCGCTGCTGCCGCCGTCGCCGCAAGAGGCGGCCGGGCCAGGGGCAGACCTCAGCTGGCGAGGGGCAGACCTCCGGGGGGTACTTTGGATGTTCCTGCTGGGAGGGAGGGAGGGAGGGAGGGAGGGAGGGAGGAGGAGGAGGAGGAGGAGGAGGAGGAGGAGGAGGAGGAGGGGGAGGGGCAGGAGGAGGAGGAGAAGGAGGAGGGAGGAGGAAGGAGGGAGGAGGGGGGAGGGGGGAGGGAGGATGGAGGAGGGAGGGGGGCCAGCCTGGAGGCTTTTGGGCGGTCTGGTGCCAGAGGGGGGGGGAGGGGGGCTCTGGTTTGCAGGGAGAAACCACAGACACACAGGATCGTCGATTTCCATGAGTATTAGGGGAAATCTGGGAAGTGAAGAGGAAGACGGAAATCCAAACCATATTGAAGAAGATGGGCCATCCTAGAATTTGTGTTCCCTTGTTGTTGTATCCCTGGGCCCTCTCATCTGGAGGCTTCCGGAGGGGCTGGTCAAGCCAGGACATTTCCCGGGAGGGTGTCTGATGTTGAGCGGAGGTTGGTCGAGGCGGGGGGCGGGGGGCGACGGGAGCGGCCTTCCCAGCAGGCACCCCGTGTCTCAGAGGCCTTCCTGCCGCTGCCTCTCTTTCGCAAGCGTTTGAGATGGGGCCGAGCACTCGCAGTCAGGGGATTTCTTGGAGGGCCCCAGGGAGTTTCCTTGCAGCCGCTCCATGGGGCTTCCTGGAGACGCCAGAGTCGTGCAGGACGGGCCTCTCTTGCCCAGAGTGCGGCCAAAGAGCCTTGAGACTTATGTTGAGACAGGTTGGCTCGAGCAGCACTGAGGCCCAGATTCTTCTAAGAATCCACGGCGGGAGGTCGACTTCTGCGGGGGCGGGCTGCTGCGTAAAGTGCGGATTGGGCTCCGGGTTCTTCGAGGGGCTGCCGCAGCCTCGCCAGCTACGGCTCGTCGAGCTCGGTGCCGCGGGCGCTTGGGGGTGCTCTGCCGCCCTGTGCCGTGCGCTGCGGCTCTATGCCTGCGCCCTGGGGGAGGAGGAGGAGGAGGAGGAGGAGGAGGAGGAGGAGGAGGAGGAGGAGGAGGAGGAGAAGAGGAGGAGGAGGAGGAGGAGGAGGAGGAGGAGGAGGAGCAGCAGGAGGAGCAGGAGCAGGAGGAGCAGCAGGAGCAGGAGGAGCAGGAGTAGGAGGAGGAGGAGGAGGAGCAGGAGGAACAGGAGGAGCAGGAGGAACAGGAAGAGCAGAAGGAGCAGGAGGAGAAGGAGGAGGAGGAGGAGGAAGAGTAAGGAGGAGGAGGAGAAGGAGAAGGAGGGGGATGAGGAGGAGAGGGAGAAAACCTGAGACACGGGCGCTTTGGCGGCGGAGCACAGCCATTGGCGAAGCGGGACTTTTTGCAGGTCGAGCCCGCTATCTAATGTATGCTGGGGTTCGTTCAGCCCCCTTGCCCTATCGTGCGGGTTCTTGGTCGCATCCGCTGCGCGGGACGCCATGGCGATCGTGGAGAACAGGGGGAAGCTATTCAGGGCCATTTAAGTTGTATTCAAAGAGGGCTTGGGCCTCGCACGCAGCAGCCGCTGGCGGTGGGGGGCTTCGATGCCGCTCGCAGATGAGCCACCGAGCGGGCCTCGGACTCAAACGGTGTGTGAGGCGGGTGCCAGACAGAAGGCCGGCGGACGCGGCTGGAGAGGCTTGTTCCGGAAGGTGAAACACACGCACACACACATTCTCGGGCCTGCAAGACTAATCGCGCACACCCATGCGCGGATGACCCCCGGCCCATGTCGCAAGTGTTGCCGAGCGGCACGTCGGCGAGCACCAGGCCACAGATCAGCGGGCGTAACGCCCACCTCGGTGAAGACCCACAATTCAGGCAATGACCGACCACAACGCTGTTTAGTTTGGTTTGGGCCCTTGTTGTTTTGTTAATCGTTTCGTTTGTCGTTATTGTTTCGTGTCGCGTTTCGTTGTTGTGTTAGGCGCCCGCTTCGTGGTTCGTGTTCGTGTGGCCTCTGCTTCGTTCTCAACGTGAGTTTCCAAACTTTGGGCCTCGTTTCGTTGTTCGCTGTAAGCGCCATTTCGTTTTGCACATCGTTGTGGTCGGTTCGTGAATTCAGGGGCAACGTCAGCGTGGGGACGGGACCTGGGCGGAAGCAT